TCCTCCTGGCTGGCCACCAAAGATGACAGAGGTCCTGCAGATCTGGGAGCACCTGGCTGTTGGCTAGAGTTGCAGCCACATCCCCGTACGTCCCCTCTGCTCACGGTGGCTTTGCTACGTGTGCCCAGGCCAGGCTGGTACAGTTTTTTCTTCAAAGCCAAAACCAACAGAGTTTTTCCACCACCACATTGCCACCTTCACCTCCTCGAGGCACTCCTTTCGAATTCTAAGCTATCACAGTCCCCTGGGTCCTCAGGGGCCCTGACACTTCCCTCTCTATATCCAACTCCAGCCACCAGTGCCTAAGGCTGTCACCTCCCCTCCAGACTGCTGCCACCCCACTGAAGCACCCAGTCCATGCTGGGTGCATGAAGGGGATTATGTCCTTTTTTTGATGACAAAGGGCATATTTCAAGTTGTTTATGTTTCCTGTTGCTGAGTGAATAGTTCCTAATTTGTGTCAGCTCATAGATTGGCTGCTAGTATTATGGAGAAATATTGGACTGCCTTTCTCTTTGCTGTTGCTTTTTACTAGACTAAGTAGGTTTGGTTTTATTTTCCCTCTTCTGGTCAGAAAGTTGTATGTGTTATTGTTCTGTGGGACTTTTCTTCAGTGGTTGTACTTAAAACGTTTGTGGGTATGTGTGACTTACACTCACTCAGCAACAAGGAACATAGACGGCTGGGAACTATGACTGCAGACCTCTTGAGTGGCCCTGCACTCACAGGGGACAAGCTACCTGACACAGGGTGAGCACGCCTCAAAATGCAAGTCAATGGATCCAATGAAAATGCCGCTTGGATCTTCTGTAGCATTTCCATGATGGAAGGAAGGCACACAACCAGTGAAGACAGTCTTAAAGACCAAGGGGAGAAGCGGGGTCCCAGGGGTCGGGGTGCTAACGCGAGCAGATACGCAGGCACCAGTGTGGCCTAGGGCAGAGGTTGGCAGTTTAGGAGATGAAAAGCGAATCCTTCCTAGCCCCCCGAGAAAGTAGCTCCAGACAGATTCAGGCCTCAATGTAAAAATAAAACTGTAAGGTGAATGCAAGACATGTAAAGGAATATCTCTGGATTTCGGCCAAGGAAGAACTTTTTAGAGAAAACATTAAAAGCATAAACCATGAGGACAAAAGACCTATAAACGTGGTTGCATCAAAATCAAGGACAAAGGGACCAGTCAGCAGTCAGGTGACAGAGGACAGGATACTCATAACATCTACTAAGAGCAATGAGGAATTGATATTAGGAACATATAAGGAACTCCTGCAAACTAACACAGAAAGTAAACCAGCAACTCCAGTGCAAAAATGAGTAAAAAAATATAAGCAACAAATATAAGAGAAAACTCAAACGGCGAATAAGCTCATGAAGAGAGAATAAGAATCAGTGGCAAAGAAGAAATGAAAATGAATGCGCCAGGGCGCCTGGGTGGCTCAGTCGGTTGGGCGACTGCCTTCGGCTCAGGTCATGATCCTGGAGTCCCGGGATCGAGTCCCGCATCGGGCTCCCTGCT